TTTTTATTAACTACTCTGCTGTATCTTTTAATAAGGTGGTGGCTGTTTCAATGTTGATTATAGAAGGCAAGAAACTTAAAAAGAAGACTGTAAAAAGAGAGAGTCAAGAATGAAAACTGGTTGGAAGTTGAGATTAAATTTTTTTGTTAAAAATTTTTCAGCTGCTGAATAAGCAGTATTATTAAAATATTTAATAATTTGTAGATAAGTTGGCTTTTAGTTTTTTATGATATCAAAATATGTAATAATTTGAGTAAGAAATTTGGTGTCAATGATATTTTTTGTTAGGAGATTTATAGCCTCTTTCTTAGACAGAGCCTGTATATTATGATTTTCAGCAGCAGTTTGGTAATAGAGTAAGAGATAGCAATAAAAGTAATAATTACAACATTTGGGATTAGTTTTAACTTTATTTTGTTTACAAACAAAGTTTTCAGCTTGATTAGCTAGTTTATCCAGAACTTTGGTAGAAATAGGTTGGTCGAGTGAGACAGCATGTTCTTTGTTTTTATGAAATAAGGTGGCATTAAGAGTTGGGTGAATCCATGTTTTGTCATCCTAAGGTGAGAATAACGAGTGTGATTTGGTTAAGATGTCTTTAAAAAGTTTGGTACTATCATGGAATTTTTTATTATCAAGGTATTGATATTCTTTATTGTCACAAGTGAGACAATGGAAGTTAGCAATATAAGATGCTTTTTCATGTTGATCATAAAGTAAGTTAGATTTTTTAAAGGTATAAGTTTCAGAAAGGTGTTTAGAAAGTTGAAGAATAAAATATAAACAGAATTGAATTCTAAGAGAAGTACATACTTTTTCTTTGTCAATATTGGAAGAAAATTGTTTACTATAAGGAGAATAGTAGGTTTCAAACTAGAAATTAAAATGGTCAAGAGAGTTTTTGAGAGATGGAATACAAAATCTTTTGAGAAATAAAGTTTTAGGAATATTTAAAAAAGCTTTATATTGAATCGAGCATCTGATTAAATAGTAATATATTTTTGGTCAAGATCAGTAGTTTAAGTAAAAGATTCAATTTTGAATCTTTTAGGTCTAAGCTTTAAATCTTCAGTGAATTTTTGATAATCGATTGATTGGTAGTTATTAAATAAAAAGAGATAAAGTCATGCAAGATTGAGGCAGAGTTGGAGGTGATTATGGGCAGTATATGGAGGGATGGTAACTGGTAAGACAAAGATTTCAAGATAGTTAAGTTTTGTAAAAAGGACAGTTGTGAATTTAAAAAGTAGATTTTTGAGAATAGATTCAAAAAGATCAAAAGGAATAGTAACACTTTTGTCAATATTAGAATTGCTATTATAGATAAGGTCAGTTAAGAATTCAGAACATTGTTCAGCCATGATTTGAATAATATAATAGAATGATGCTTTGAATGCTGGTTATGTAGTAGTAGCTGGCTTAATTTTCTTGTCAGAATAGAAATTATAGAGGAATTTTTTAAGAAAGATGAAGAGTTGAAGAGAAAATGAAGTTTGCAGCTTTTTATTAGATTACATTTCTTCAGTAATTGGAAAATTTGCAACCTAGTCATATGTAAGATTAGATTTTGGTTTGAATTAAACCTTAATTTGATCCAAAACATTTAATCACTAATTTACAAATTCTTAAAAACTAACGTGAAAACACTAGAGTATGATTGAGGAGAAAGTTTTTTCAGATTAGTTAATGTTACTAGTCTTGTTGAGATTAAGGTTAGAGGTATCAAGAGTGTTGGTAGTAGAAGGTTAGTTAGTAGTAGGATTAGTATTAGTAGTTGTAGAAAAAAAAAAATCAATAAGATCAGAAGAAGTTGAAGTCTAGTAAGAAGATGTTGTAAAAGGATTGATAGTTTGAAAAAATTCATATAAGATGTTTTGAAAGGTTTGAGTAAGGTTTTTCTTGGTTTTGAATAAACTAGCTTCATGTTGAGATGAGGCAGTTATATAAGTAAGATGATAGATTTCATTATTTTTGGAAATATATTTTTCAGTAGAATAGTGACACTTATTTCTTTTTGTACAACTAATTGGAAGAGAGCATTTAGAGCAAGTATGGTAATGTATATCAGATGTAGAAAATGGGGAGACACTTTCAATAGAAAAAGAGAGGTTAGTCATAAGTTCTTGAGTTGTTTTGTTAATTTTTTTAGAGTTGTTATTAATATGAGCAGTTGTAAATTCAGTAGCTTGAATATAATTGGTATTTGAGGTTAAGATGAATTTGGTATGGTATTTGCCACAAAGCCAAGTAATTACAAAAGTAAAAGTAGAAGCTTTAAAGAAATATGTAATCTTGTTAGATCTAAGATTTTTTGTTAAGCAAGAAATAGATTAGACTTTGGAAGGGATTAGGCAGGCCTTGTTGTTGTTATTTTCTTTATAGAGAGCAATTCCAAAACTGTTAGAAAAGTTTTGGTAGAAGTAATCAAGGTCTGCTATGTCAGACTCTTGTTGACTTAAGGTAGGCATTATTAAATAGTAATAAGTTAGATAAAGATTTTTTAGACTTAGATATATTTTCTAAATAGAAAGTATAGTTGTAAAAATTAATTTTACAAGAGTTGTAACTAAATGCAAGGGTTATAGTTTAAGGATGTCACTGGAATGACACAAAAGTGTAACAGAGATGGATGGGGTCACTAATATGACTTGAGTACTGAACATAAGTAGGATTTGCAATACAAATTACTGTGTAATATTAATAAGAACTAAATCTGAAAATATTGATTGTATGAATAAGTTTCTATTAATAGGTTGGTTACAAAATGTTGGTGTAAATTAATAAGATATGGATTAGGAAGTGATGATATAGTTATACAAAAACTGTGTAAGAGAAAAAGAGAACAGAATAAGGACAAAAGGTAAAAAAGAAGTTTTGCAAGAGAGTAAATGTTGAATTTAGTTGTAGTTTAGTCAATATTGGGTCAAAAATTTTTGTTTAGAGCTTGTTTTGACTGAATAAATATATATTACAACTTTACTTAAGAGTATAAAACAGGTTAAAGTAGTAGAAACTGCAAGATGGTTAAAAGTTGTTAACTGGAGGCCAAAAGCTGTCAGTACAGTTTTTTCAATGAGTTTGAAGTATAGAAGCTTACTATTTGCAGATTAGATGTAAAATAGTGAGCAAACAAGTTTACATAAAAGCCTAAGACAGATTGTCTTAGTAAAATAAATAGTTATAAGCATTTTTTTATGAATAAATTTTTTAGTTAATTTTTGTGCAATTGATTTGTAAAAAGAATTTTTTTTTTGGTCTAATAGTAGAATTATTAGATTCAAATTATAATTCATTAAGATAAATTTATTTAAAGATTTGATATTATAAGTCTATTATAAAAATAATATAATAATTATATAATAATCAACTAATCAGAATATTATTACTAAGAATTTGGATTTATTACTTAAACTTATACAATATATACAAATATAGTTTTTTTTAAAATAGTATATATTATAATTTTTTATTATAATAAATAAATTATTTTAATTTATATATTTTAAAAATTTAATAAAATATTAGTATGATTTTAAAAAATTTTATTAGTATCATATCTTTGCTTACTATGTAAATCTAAATTTATTGCACAAATTATATAATAAATAATTTATATGTACTCTACTTTTAATTAATATAAATAAACAATAAATATATATTATACTTATGATATTTAGTATCAGTATAAAATTACTTAATCATAATTGATTAGTTTATAAATTAAAGAATAAAAATAATAAAACAAACTAGCAATACTAATAGAAAATATAAAGTACTTTGGTGATTATATTTTTTTCTTGTTATATACAGAGATTAGTGATGTGCTTTTTCAATTATTAATTTAAAATTTAAAATATATATATAAACTTAAAATTTGTAACTTATATATATGGCTTACACAAATTTTCTCTATAGGTTATAATAAAAAAATACTTACAAATTAGTCTTTTAAGTTATTACTGCTTTGGGCTTATTATATTATATTATAATACAATAAGTTCAGAGTAGTAATAATGTAAAAGATTTATATACAGATTTCTTCTTATTATAACTTATATGTATTATCTTTAAACTCAAACATATTTATAAACTTTTGAACTGAACTTGAACCAAACCTGAACTAGCTTTAAAAGTTTGAAATTGAACCAAACTTAAATACTCTTTAAAAAATTGTTTAGGTTTGGTTTAGGTTTGTCAAAGCATTACTTGTATACTCATAAGGTATATTATTTAAAATACTGTTTTAATATTTAATACTATCAGTACTATATATCCTTTATATACACAATATAATGAACAAAAATAAAACCCAGAATTAGTAATAAGAAAAATGCATATTTTATAATAACATAGTATGAATGCATATTAAAGCATACAAAAAGTTTTATGCTCATAATATTATATAATAAAAAAAAAAAAAACAAAACCAATCAATAAAAGAAAAATATTGATAGAATAAAATGCATATAAAATAAAATTTTATGCATGAATGCATATTAATATGTATGTTTTTGCAATTATGTGTATACATGAAACCTATCTCTATCTGAAACAAACTAATGATTAATAAAATTACTGACAATTAATAAATTATTTACAATTAATAAATTTATTGATTAATAAAATTATTAATAAAAATATATAATTATAAAACAAAACAAAAACACTATAAAGTTTTATTTTCTCATTAATTTTGTAATTTGTTTTTTAAAGTGCTATAAATAAATTTTTCAAAACACTACTTTCACTATCTGTATTATTTAAATTTTCATTAATTGCTTCATTCACTTTATCTGTATTATATAAACTGTTACTAATATTTTTACTATTTTTATAATTTTATTTTTTTACTAAATTTGCCACTAATTCTATAGGATCAAAATCAAAAATGCCTTATTTTATTGCATTACTAGTCATTAATTCATTATGTTCAATTTATTAAAGTTTTTAGCATTATCAAAATTTTTGCTATTACTATCTAATTCATTATTTTGAAAATTTTAATTATTTAAACATATAATATTTTCAACATCAAAATGTTCAATAATACCTGAATTATACTTAATTTCTTCTTTTATTTCAAAGTCTTCAATGATTTTATTATCATCATCATCAGCTAAAAATGTTGCAGATGTTATTTGTTCTTGTAAGTCATTATATAACAATGTTTTACCAAAAAATGCTAGTTCTTTTTTTATATTTAAAATACAAAAAGTACGAACTTATGCCATAGCTTGAATTTGGATAAGAAAAAGCTTTTGTTACTGTTTTTCATTTAGCCAACCTAACAATAAGAAGGTTCTTTTACAATTAGCAAAATGAGAAGTAATAAAAAAGATCTTAATTGTAAGTTGTACAATCGAATTAGAACTATAATTAGTAATTTATCATAATAAGAAGTACTTTTTTTAAAAGAATAAAGTAGATCAAATCCATTTCTTTTTTCTTAAAATTGTTGCATATATGCCATAAGATCTGAGCATTTATAATGATTATGTTTATCCTCTTGCTATATTTTAATTGCTGTTTTTACGATTGTTTAAAATTGTTGTTCTCATAATTTAATATCTAATAAAAATTATATTAATATATAAATAATTTTATTATTTAGTAAAATTTTCTAATTATAATATATAACAATATTCTGAATAAAGAAAGTATACCAATAAATAATTATTATAATTAAAATCTTTTTATCTTTTATTAATGACTTGTATACAATAATTTTTAAATATATTAATTCAAAATTTGAAATCTTTTAAATAGAAGCTGCTAACTAAATAAACTGTAAAAAGCAATTAGCCAAGGTCATTGATTGAGCTTTTAAATTTATAATTATTGCTTGAATAAGAGCTAAAATCTTAACTAAAATTTTAAGATCTAAGAAAAAATATATATTTATTAAAATTTGTTTTATATTATGATTTGTAATTAAATCTGAATTTTTATTTATAATCAATACAAATAAAATTTAGTTTCTTATTTTGTTTAAAATATTAATTAAAATATAATATCTTACTTTAATAAATGCATATTTAAGCTAACTAACAAATAAAGTGCATTCATATACAAAAACTTATCTTGTATTAATAATTTTTTTTAACCTGCTATTAGAGATTTTTAATTTATTAATTACTTGTTGTAAATATGCATTTGGCTGATATGATTTCTTAAAATATTCTATAACTTTATTGTAATTTTTTATAAAGCATGAACTAAATGTATGCTCTAAAATAAAATTTATATTAATAATATATTAATATGTAAGATATAGTTTTTTTAATACTTACTAAGAATATCTTTAGATACAGGATTAATACAATGTATGATACAATTAAAACTTAAAATTTTTAAATATCTTTCATGAACAATTTGTCAAGCAAGCTTCATATTACTAGCATTATCAGTTACAATTGCTGCAAATTTGTTATTACCAATTTTATTTATAATATGATCGATTTTATTTGCAATAAATTTAGAAGTATATAAATTCAAAGAATAATCATGTAACAAATATAAAAATTTGTTATACATAGGTGTTAAAATTATAAAACTATAAATAGAACTTCTATTAGGTAATGTTCACCTATTTAATGCTATAAATAAAATAATTTAATAATAAATCACAAAATATAATTTATTAATATATATATAAATATATATATATCTATTGTTAAATTACTTGATTTTTGAAAAATTGCTTTTAGTTTTATTATAATTTTAGAATACTCTTGGTTTAAAAATTGATTTGCTAAAGTTTTTCTTAATAACACCTCATAACTTAAATATAAATTTTGAAGAAAATCAATAAAGAATGAATTTTTAACTGCAGAAAATAGAATGCTACAAACTACAAATGCTTTTAGTATTGAATTATTTATAGTATTTATTTGCTTCTTAGACAAACCAATTTCTTTTTACAGAAAAAAATTTGAAATACCAGATTGTTTATTTACTTTTTGTTTTTTTGAAGCAATAGTTAATATGTTGGATTCTACTTTATCAGACTCATTACAATAAGCTACACAAAGTAAATATAATTGCTAAACTTAATTATTAATATAAGAACATTTTAAGACAAGATAAGACTCAAGTCTTTGTGGTTTTTCTCTTGCCTATTTAGCTGAACAATACATATATTTTGCAAAAAAATATCCAGATGAACTGGTTTTTTCTTATTCAAAGAACTCCCAAATAGATAATAAATTTCTTTCTTTAGTACTTTCAAAATTTGTTTCATTTGTTAATTTAGTACTATTTTGTGATATTAAGATATTATTTTTTATTATTTTATATTAAAAAAAAGTAAAATTATATATATATAAAATATATATATATAGCACTCTCTCTGCTGATCCTAAATTTTCAAATAAGGCTAAAAGCAAATACATAGAAAAACGTAAAAATGGTCTGATAAACTTCACTTGGACTACTAAGAAAAAAGATTTAGCAAACAAAACACAACTACTTTGTCTTAACAACAAT